TTACAGAACAAAGGTTGATTCTCACTGTACCTTCCATATCAGCTCCCTTCCGTTTCCCTTCCGTTTACATAATATATTATATCATGTAAATGAATAAGGTTTATTTTTAAGGTCATTTAGGAATGTGTAAAATATATCGACATATCTAAATATCGATATTTAATGCTCGGCACCACATTTTTTTAAACAAATCTATCTTGTGTGGCACATCATTTAAAACTCGGCCGCATTCTTTTTTATAGGCCTATAACAATTATAGGAAAAATTATTTTTTAGTATAATAATAATATAACCGCCTAAATTTTAATGACAGTATTATTTAAAGTGATTTTCAAAATAATTTACATTCTTAATTTTTCCTTTATTATTGTGTTCGCCCATAACAGTACTCATTTTGTTAAATTTTCCTAAGTTATTGAATAAATTTAAGTAGATAAATAACTCTAATGAATCTCTCTCAGCCGGTATATACGTGAATTTTGTTTCCTTCTCATTCTAGCTTAGAGGAAAAAACAGAACAAGTGATGCGCCTGGTGAGAGTTATGAAAAACGATGTAAGAAATAAATTACACTGAAGTAAGGAGGAAAAAAAGGAAAAAGAAAAAAAAATGGTTTAGCATAGATAATCTGTTGTTGTGGGTTATTTATGGTGCTCTTGATGTGGATAATATGTTCTCCTTATTGGTTTCGTTACGTGAAATTGTTAAAAATGTGAGAACATTATTTTTTTCGAGAAATTTCTTTCATAAAAAATCTCTCTACCAAAACAGAATTGAAGAAAACATTACAGCCTTTTTTAAATCTCATTGCGAAGTCATAATGAGATTTCTCAATGATATCACTCTAAAAGTAGTATTTGAATACGTACATTTGACATCAATCAGTACAAGGATAGAACAAATGATAAATCCTTACCATTATAATTAACAACTAAATCAGCAAATGAAAATAACGTTACAAATATAAAACGAATAAGTATGAAAACAACCTGTCTATTTATGTAGTTTTACTAATTATTTCTAAAACGTTATTTGACTTAGATATAAAGATTGCTTGCTTTGAAATCCAGTATCCGTTTAAAGTTCTTCGGCGGTGCTTGACAAGGAATTACAAAAATTGCCACAAAATAGTGGGTGGTCAACAAATGTCTAGTGTCTACGGTGGAACAACTGTCTAGAATGATCACTCCCAGAGCAGAGACAGGCTTAAAAGTTCATAGTAGAATGAACCGATAAACATAAACAGAAGAACTCAAAATTGCAGTCGGTTTAACTGATAGGATTGACGAAAGAAATCCTGAGGTATTAGCAAAGAGCTATGAAAGGTAAAGTCACCAAGTAGCATAGATCTATAGATACCTCAAAAAAATCTAATCAAATGTAAGATATTTTTAAGAGGTATATGGCACTGTATTTCATAACATTTAAAATTAAAGTGGAGTAACAGAATGAAATAAAAAAAATCATTAAATTTAGGGTTATACGGTGATTGACATGTGTCAACATTTTTTTTTGCGATAAATACATCCGAAGGGTCCACAAAACCCTCGTTGGGTACAAAATTACACCCTTAACATGACTTTCCCCATGGTTTGCAATTAGTAATCGCAACGTTGCTGGATAATTTATACCGTCGAAATTACAGGAAAAATCCAAAAATGTAATAGGATTGCAGCGTTGTCAATATTTCGCATCAATGCGTGGATGAGCCTAGCGTAGATTTTATGGTAAGCAGGGGAAGTTTGTCCCCTTTTTTTGAGTTATAATTCTTTGTACAATCTCAGGACTTTGACAAAAGCCAGTATCTGAGACGGTTTTCTCCATCTCCATCTCCGCTATCAGACGTATCATAAGTTATGGCACGAATGGTTGTTATCTCGGCGCACTCAGTAATGAGATGCTCAGGATGCTGGAATACGTGCCCACTGGTTTGGAGTACTTTTTTTCGGCGAAAATTTCACACCTGTAATTTTTAACCAGTCAAAACGTGTTTTTTTTTTTGACAAATCACCATGGCAACGGATAAATTTTAGTGAAAATGTTTTCCTTGTGGGCACCCAACAGCGAATTATACTGGAGATTTTTTGACGTTTATAATGACAGAATATCTTTTGAGAGTCTGGTTTTTATTTCTTTACATGATAATTTTGATACACTTCAACTACAAAGCTGGGATGTTTTCTATATTCTTTGGACACCTCCTTTCTTCTTAATGGCAAAAATGTAGGACTTGGAATGGACTGAATTAAATGTCTATGTCTAATGAAATATATATAATATTTAGACTCTATTTTATTCACCTTTTTTCCATTTAGTACTTTGAATTTTGAGTAGTTTAGATGCAAATATTCGTGAACAATTCGAAACAAATTCTTCAAGTAGGAGCCACAATCCTCTATTAATGCGGGTAAATAAGTCATCGCACAATGATTGATCATTACATCAGACAATTTCACGCATATTTTGCATGTAGTATGATTTTCAAACCGATTCGTTTTTAAAACAAAGAATTTTGTTGGTTTTTCAAGCTGCACAATATTCTTTATTACAACAAAACGCGATATTTTGAACTGTCAAAATATGATGATCATCACAGCCTTTTATGATTGACGCTTGCTGACGCTCCGCACTGGTTATGAATTCCATGCCAATAAAGCATTTATGAAAAGTTAATAAACATGCAAAAAAGCAACTTTCTACGACTTGTAGTTACTCAAAACTTATGTAAAATTGAAGAATATATTGTGCTGTGTCTTGAGATGGTATTTTCGTGCAACTACAACGAGTATAAGTCAACAATTTAAATGTCTAGGTATATCCGCTCTGTCGAAATCATACGATTTTTCTGCGCAACAGTTTGTAAACTGCTTCCACACGCTTGACTTCGATTTCCTAGTATTCGCGGGTGTCAACTGCTTAATCTCCTGGCGAATATTTTCTTTGCCAGTCTTCGACTCGGGATAATTTTCAAAATATTCATGAGCTCGAAAAAAATTCCGGAAATAATTTGACCTCTAGTGGTATTACCTGTCCTTTTTCCTGTTTTGGTTTTGGAAGCATCGGTATACCATGTTATGGTATGGTCTTTTATCTGCTGAACAAAAGTTTAGTTAGCAACGTATTTTTTATACTAAGTATGTTTCAATTCCATTTTTCATAAATATATTAAGCCCGTTGAAAAATAAAATAAAAACTAAAAAAGTAATTTTGAGAGTCCTTCACTGTTTCATTTTATTTCCATTAATTTTTATTGTTTTCCACGGTTCGCCGCGCTAAATATCCGTGAAAAGTTTCATAATTAATTTGGCAACGCCGCGCCGCCCCGCTCGATTACCACTTTAAAATCCCGGGCGGCGATTTAATGAAATAAAACGCGAAAGTGTCGCCATCTGGCGCCAAAAAAATTAAAACGTCCGTCGGTGCCAATAAAAAGGTGGCAAAAATTCCGCACGGCCGTACGGGGTTTCCGCCGATGTATAATGTGTGCATGTGTGCCCACTACACCGTTCCAAAATAAATTTTAATTAGATTAAATTTTTGTTGGAAAATTAAATAATTTTAAAAGTCCAAATTGAGATATGACCCACCGCTCAAAAACTGTTTTTAATCTGACCAACGTTTATTATTATTAATCAGGGGTGGATGGGCCATATGGGAAAACGGGAAAATTCCCGGTGGGCCGGTGGGAAGATGGGCTGGTAGGCCGGTCCCGATCAGATCGCAAAGATTTTTAATTTCTTTTTACATTGGCTTAGCAAAAATTAAATGGTTACTCTTCTAACTAAAGTTACGTTAGATTCTTAGTGATTGCCTAACTAACTAATCGTTTTGCATCGATATAATGGTCAGTTGCTTTTAAACATAAACACCAATTTGTAAAATAACTATTGTTAGAAGTCTTTGAGACACTTATAATTTTAATAAACATCTGTTGTTTGTTGTTCCGTTTGAAATGTTTTATTATACAAGGTGAGTCTATAAGTACACCTTAATTGTGCTGCTTTGTGAAAATATTTCCAGGGCTGGTATTCTCTTTACCGTGTTTCAAATAAGTCCAAAATAAAACAAAATTTGATTTTTTTTTAAAAAATTGATTTATTTTTAAAAAAAATTGAAAGCTACCGAAATTTTTCTGTATTTGCATCTCTTTTAGTCTCCTAATATCAAAGATTAAGACCGAAGATTAAGAAACTATACCGTGAAAAAAATTGCGATGATCAGGAACTTCTAAAAAGTTTTCTAAAATATACCGGAAAATTTCAAAGAAAATGCACGATTTTCAACATTTTTTTTTGCCAAAAAACATCATAAACGTAAAAATTATCAATAATAAACGTATTCCTGGGGTCGAAATATAAGACTCCTGAAAATATTTGCACTTTTTTAAGACTCACCCTGTATAGTTTTACTTTACCACTATTCTTTTACTAATAACTAATAAAGACTCCGGCAGGCGTACAACAGAAAAAAGAATGAATATCATTAGGTAAACCTAAATAATCTCGATGTAAGTGTATACCCAGAATCCAGAATACGGTAGCGTAACAACTGGGGGCCTCGGTGCAATACTTTTCGAGTTCATCTGAGTAAAAAGGTAGGCAAATTTCTCTGCGATTGACAGAGAAAACATAAAGATATCTCTATGCTTGGTTAGAATTGGGGACGGACATAAAGCCAAGTCAGAAATAAAAGTCAAGTCTAAATTGTCGTTTTACATGTCGCTGAAATAAATTTACTAAAAATTAAAAAAACCGACATCTATGAAAATATGAACCCTTCCTGGACACAAACGGTACATTGTGAGACAGGAAATTGTAGAGAGAAACAAGCCCTATAACATAGGATACAACATTTTAATGAACAGTGCTTTCCATAAAATCAATAAAATGAAAAATATACGAAATAAAATAAATGTACCGATTTCTTTAGAAAATCGACATCTATGAAAATATGAACCCTTAACAACAAACATTATTTTCAATTTTTTTCGTATTGTTACAGAACTACCACTTCCAGAAGACCCACCACCACCAGAAAAGATCATACCATCCACACCAAAACCCACTCCGCCAGAACAAGATGAACACCTCCTCCTAAACACCGATCTCCCGATATTCCTCGAAGAACCCCAACACTCCTTCGTAGTGAAAAACAGGGCAGCAACCCTCCATTGCAAAGCGGCGCATTCCCTTAGGGTTTACTTCAAATGCAATGGAGCCAGGAAGGTCGAAGCCAAAGATTTCGAGTTCGTGGACCCTCAGAATGGGGTGAGGATCATGGAAGCCGAGATTAACGTGACCAGGGATATGGTGGAGGAGTTTTTCGGGCAGGAGAAGTTCAAGTGTGAGTGTTATGCTTGGAATGGGAAGGGGACGATCAAGAGTCAGTCTGCCACCGTGGAAGTTGCATGTGAGTAGTACTTTAATTACATCTGTGATTTATATTTTGAACTTCTGGTACTAACTTTAGTAAATAAACGAAATCATCTAGTATAATCAGACTTATCTTATAAGTTCATAATTATTACTTTTTACGAATTATTACTAACAAATTTCCTTATAAATTGTAAACTAAAGCCTGTGCGAAAAAACTGAGTTTTGTTTGTTTGTAAAATTTATAATTTTATTATAATCAAAAACAATAATTATTATTCATAAAAAGAAACAAAATAAAATCTTGAAATGAATCTTCATCCCTATTAAATCTAGTGATTTTTTTTATTGATGATTGTTACCTACTTATATAGCCTGTTTCTGTTTGGTTGGTTTCAGAAGTGAACTGGATCAAGTCCATAAAATTTAACGCTTTGCGCGATTTTAACAACGTGCTAAATTTTAGAGCTATTACATCAATGTCATAGAGCAACAGCAATTGCTGTTTTTGACACACATTCAGACACCATAGATAATTTTATTTCTAAGTTAAAAATAATCGTTTTCCTTCCATTAAATTTGCACATGAAATTGAGAACAACGACAGATTACCATTTCTAGATGTATTAATTATTAGAAATATTAATAATTGCCTGGAATTTGATATCTATAGGAAAAATAGCACTACACGCAGATATATTCCTAATGAATCATATCATAGTGTTGAACATAAAATGGCTAGTTTAAATTTCTTAGTTCATAGATTACTTAGTTTTCCACTTTCCAATGAAAGATATGAAATAGAAAGAGATTACATTAGGAATGTAGCTGAGAGTAATGGATATTCTCCTTCACTAGTTGATAAAATAATTAGAAAACGTAGGTATAGGTTAATGATTTCTGAAAATTCGAGTTTTCAAGTGGAGAAAGATAAGTCAAAATATTTTTCAATACCGTTTGATAGACAGTTATCTCGTGGTCTAAAAGGAATTTTTAAGAATGTCAATTATAAACGTGTGTATAGTGCTAATAATAAATTACAACAATTATTAGGTAATCCAAAGGATAAAACACCTCCACTGGAAAGGTCGGGTATTTATGAAATTTCTTATAAAGATTGTAATCAGAAATATGTTGGGCAAACTAGAAGATCAATATTAACTAGATTTAAAGAACATTTAGCTCAGATAAGATATGGTAGACCGGATAAATCTTGCGTTGCCGAACATATTGTTGATAAAGAACATTGTATAGATCTTAATAATTTAAAAGTAATTAAACAAGTCTCAAATTACAGGCAATTAGATGCATATGAAAGCATCAGAATTAATAAATGTAAAGATAGTATGAACAGAGACAACGGTCCAATTCCTTCAAGTTCTTTGTTCCTGCTACTCTAGTGGCGGAAATCAATCTGTTACGCTCGGTGGGCTCTGACTCAGTTGGCTAGATCTTGCCACGCCCACTCGGTGCCCACTGAGCGAATATATAAACGCTCAAATTGTAGATTGTATTTTAGTTTTTAATCATTTGCTGATGATGCTAACATCTAACATGGTTAGCGAAACGCGCGTCCAGTGTAAAAGTAAAAGTGTTTTGGTGTATTGTGGCGATTTAGTGTTTTTAAATCCCTTAATAACGAGGAAAAATGTACCGATGAACTAATTTATATCTAAAATTTTAAATATTTTCAGAGGTAAAATGGTTCAAGTCCAAAAAATATGAACAAACATTCTTAAAAATGACCACAGTTGTATTTTGAGTTACTTTAGTTTGCAATTATCCAATTTAAAATATAATAAAGCATTGTGTCAAATTTTCTTCTCCAGCTTGTTTTATTTTAATTAAGTAACATTAAAAAACTTTAACTCTCATTTTCTCCATAATTATCTTCTAGGACTTCAGTTCCACTTCTGAACCCCTCATAATATCTTGTTTTTCCTAACTTCTACGGAATCAAAATACCAAAAAAACAGCACCATAAAAACAAAGTTTTGTTCGAAATCTGATTATTTCTTTACAGTTTGAAGGAACTAAAGTTGATGTACCTACAACCCAACCATACATTGTAGTCTACGTTTATGTTATCGAGATTTCGATCGTAAAGGACGCATAAAAACACCGATAAAAACGTACTTAAAAGGCGTCTAGAGGTCTTTAAATTTACGATAATTTACTCTTTTCGTGCACTAAAGCGAGTCTAATTTACGAAATAATTTTTAAACAATCAAATTATGGCGTAGATCGTAAAAAGAGCTGAAACAGGTATTCAAAAAAAAAAATAAATATGGTTGATGATGGTTGCTAAGAAATAAAACGAAAATCTGATAATATCAACTTTTAGAGCAGGAAAAATAGTAATGGGGATGCGAAATTTGTATTGTACGTGTCTTAAAATACAAAGAGACGCAAATATATCAACGAAATCATATATCACAGCTCTTCTTTTTGATTTGCACTTTATATCTTTCAAAACCCTCTTAAATCGCGTCATGCACACGTCGACCACATCGACGATCGACGATCACCTTCAACAACTATTCGCCTCGCGCCACGCAAATTGTAGAGTAGCCGCAACAAAAGAAGATACAACGTCCGTCATCAATCTCAATACTTCAAAAAACTTCTGTCTATCGTTTCTGGATGTTCCTATGAGTAGAAGCGATGGATCCATTAGCACTGCTGTATATAGAAAACCCACACATACGGGACAATATTTAATTTCTCAGTCGAACGATTCTGAAGCATCCAAAAGAGGTATAGTTAAAACACTATGTCATAGAGCAATCACTATATGCAGTGGCCAAGAATCTCTGAATTCTGAACTAAGTAATATTTAAACCTATTTGCTTCAGAATGGTTACTCTGCAAAATCCCTAGACAATATTATATCCAATTGCAAGTCCGACCCATTGGTGCGCCAGCCTGAGGAGGATGCTCTCTTTCTTTTGACGATTCCATATGTGAAAGGAACATCGGAAAAAAAGGGCGAATAGCTAAGCAATATAAAATTAAAACTGTTTTTAAGTCTGGGACTACTCTAACTCGATCAATATAATGAAAAATATACGAAATAATATACATGTACTGATTTCTTTCGAAAATTGACAACTATGATCCCTTCCCCGACAAAAACGGTACATTGTGAGACAGGAAATTGTAGAGAGAAACAAGCCCTATAACATAGGGTACAACATTTTAATGCACAGTGCTTTCTATAAAATCAATAGAATGAAAAATATAGGAAATATTATACATGTACTGATTTCTTTCGAAAATCGACAACTATGATCCCTTCCCCGACACAAACGGTACATTGTGAGACAGGAAATTGTAGAGAGAAACAAGCCCTATAACATAGGATACAACATTTTAATGAACAGTCTGTAGGTCTTTTAAACAAAGTTTGTTTGCAAACTGTAATTAAGACCAGACCATTTGGTTGAATTCCATCTTTAGAATAAAATTTATCTTAGCTCACGCTCATGGATTACCCAAATTGCCCCAATTGCGAGCAAAAACAGTCACTATCAAACAATCCTATCGTGGATGACGAGGTAGCTTCTTTAGGTGCGGCTACTATACATCACCACCGCAAATATTTTTCCAGCGACGGTGACACCGCCGACGCCGATTTGCACTTAGCGGTTCGTTTATTTTCAAACAGCGAACTAGTGCCGGTTAAACATAGAAATTGTGGTGATTTAACGGGACCGATTTTAGACGCGGGCTTCGAACGCCTTCTATTTGCAATGGTCGACGATCAGTAAATGGGCATAAGTAACGTCTCTCTGTTTGAAGATAAATATTTGAAGTGAAATTCGAAAAGCAAATTTATATACAAAATACAGAGTGGTCCACTAATTTATAATGTTGCTTTTTAGGATTTCTGTATTAAGATAGTATCTTCTTGCGGTGCCGTGTCTGTCTTCAGGCGTTGGCGATCTCCATGACTATTTCGTGGAAGAGTTCTCTATCTTCTGCTGCATGAAACAGCCTCTCCATCCTCAGACCGATCCAGTTTACTTTTTACTTTTCTTTATACAACCTTGGCAAGTAGAAGTATCCATTCCATACTTCTGGATAGTTATGGAAGATTTTGTTTCTTCTTTTTGTGTTGCACCATCATCTTATATTATTTTGACACGGACGTATACAATTGAAATAAGATCTTCTTGGTTTTACCACACAATAGTGTCACATTCCATTTACAAATTGCATGATCAATCATTCGTTTCATCATTTTGTCCTTTACTTCTACGTGGAGCACAGAGCTTCAACAAATGTTCTCCAGCGGCTTCGGTAGCTTGCAATTGATTTGACATCTCACCATGATCGGTTTACTGCTTTGATCTCCTTTTAATTGTTCTTTGCCATGTGTGACTTGAACGACCAGTTCGTCTACTGCCTGTGTTCCATTCAATCGCTATGCCAGCGATGTTGTTGCCGCTTTGCCTTAATGTGTGACCAATCCACCTCCATTTCCTTAAGCAGGTCACTCACTAAGGAGCATGTTGCGCAATATGTTGGCGAACGCAGTTGCCGTCAACAAGTTTCCGAGTGTTTGTGTTGGTCCGTCAACATGTTGCTAAGTTGCAGGCTCCCAGGACGAAACCGAAAAGCCACAACGTGAGCTGAGCATGTTGCCTAGGTGTGTGGTTCGCCGCACATGTGGTAGGCATGTAAGTTTTGCAAAAAAAAAGAATTTTTTTCCATAGCAACTGTTAAAATTGCCTTAGATAAAATAGTATACTTTAATAGCATTTTTTAATTAAATGACACTTTAACAGCGAGGATAGGTTAAAAACTTCATTTCTTCTCGCACGTTTTTTAATTGCTTCCATTTTTGAAAATGTTTGTATTCCTTTTCATAAGTTATTCGGGATTTAAATGGAAGTAGCTTGGATATGGCGCTTGTCGCCTCAGCCCGAATATCTGTTGGTAATTTACTTATTTTGTTTTGAGCCATTTCTGGCTCCAATTCAATCAGCAATCGACACGAAAGAGAATTAAAAAATATTGACTCAAAACTGACAA